CCGATGGACTCTGAGTCTCCACTCTGCACTCACCCACCTTTACAATGACATGATTTCTTGTTCCTTGATGCCTGACACCCGATCCCTTCGACAGCTCATGGTCACACATACTATTTACTTTTAAAATTCGAAATTTCTGGTATATTTCTATTCATTTCCTTGATGAGAAGCACTGTACTAAACTGGGTCAGGCAGAAAATGCACAGAGTTATTTTAATCACTAGTTTATGTATCCTTAAAAGTATTTGAAATATTTATGTTTCTCTACGGTTTCTCTAAGGGAAAGATGTTGATATTTAGGAGAAAAACCTTAGAATTCATGTTCAGCTTGCATTTGAAGAAAGTATGGAATTAATTTGTGGTTCATATTTTGGTCAGAAAATAAGGTCATGTTTCTACATTAGCATTCTGAACAGTTGATATCAATCCAACAAAAATCATGCCAAATTAAATGTTGCATTCTTGTAATAATGTTTAAAATTGTTCCTGTAATGTTTCAGTCCTTTTAATCAATTAATTGCTTTTTGTCTACAATAATTGTAGACAGCTGAAGGGTGATCAAGTTTAAAACCAATTTTGTTTAAGTATTTTAGATTAAATAATTGTTCTTTAAAATATTTTTTCCAAAATTGTGAATACTAATACTAAAAACATGCAAGAAATAAATACTTCTATTAAATGATTAAATAAAAATATAAAAGTTCTATCAAAATATTGGAATAATTAATTGGCTCTCAATGTACAGAAGTTATTCTTAATGTTGTAACTTTTTAGTTCAATAGTTTTTATTTGACATGCATGCATATTTTCTTTTTGAAATGTGATCTCTGAGCCTTTAAATTTGTGGAATATTTCCATTTTACAAGAATAAGGGACACTTTATTGACACCCATAGCTAGAGTACCTTTTTTTAGTTAAATCATTTTATTGGGGGCTCGTACAATTCTTATCACAATCCATACATCCATTCATTGTGTCAAACACATTTGTACATTGGTTGCCCTCATCATTCTCAAAACATTTGCTTTCTACTTGAGTCCTTGATATCAGCTCCTCATTTTCCCCCTCCCTCTCCACTTCCCCCTCCCTCATGAAACCTTGATAATTTATAAATTATTATTGTCATATCTTACACTGTCCGATGTCTCCTTTCACCCACTTTTCTGTTGTCCAGGCTATATGTAGATCCTTGTAATCGGTTACCTCTTTCTACCCCACTTTCCCACCACCCTCCTTGTATCACCACTCTCACCACTGGTCCTGAAGGGATCATCCATCCTGGATTCCCTGTTTCCAGTTCCTATCTGTACCAGTGTACACCCTCTGATCTAGCTAGATTTGTAAGGTAGAATTGGGATCATGATAGTGGGGCGAGGAAGCATTTAAGAACTAGAGGAAAGTTGTATGTTTCATCGTTGCTATCATGTACTCTGACTGGCTCTTCTCCTCCTCGCAACCATTCTGTAAGGGGGTGTCCAGTTGCCTTCAGATGGGCTTTGGGTTTCCATTCTGCACTCACTCTCATTTACACTGATATGATTTTTTGTTCTTTGATGCCTTATGCCTGATACCTGATCCCTTTGAGACCTAGTGGTCACACAGGCTGCCGTGCTTCTTCATGTGGGCTTTGTTGCTTCTGAGCTAGATGGCCGCTTGTTTACTTTCAAGCTTTTAAGACCCCAGACGTTGTATCTTTTGATAGCCGGACACCATCAGCTTTCTTCACCACATTTGCTTATGTACAAGTTTGTCTTCAGCTATCGTGTCGGGAAGGTGTGCATCACGGAATGCCAATTTAATAGAACAAAATGTTCTTGCTTTGAGTAAGTACTTGAGTGGAGGTCTAATGTCCATCTGCTGCCTTAATACTAAACCTATAAATATATGCATGTAGATCTATTTCCCTATCGTTATATTATGCACATCCTTTATTTAGACCTCTATAAATGCCCTTTGCCTCCTAGTTCTTTCCTCTATTTCCTTTTACTTTCATCTTGTCCCACTATTATGCTCAGCCTTCATTTGGGTTTCAGTAATTTCTCTGTTACATTGCCTTTGGTGAATCTCTACCAGGTCTTTCACACCCTCTTTGCCATTAATTCTGGATCATTTGTTGCTCACTTGTCCCTGGGTTGGTCAATACCACCTCCTTTTCCCTGCCTCCCCCTCTTCCAAGTCCCCCCAGAACCATCGGTCCCGTTGTTTTCTTCTCCAAACTCTTAGTCCCACCTATCGTTTCTAGATAGATTTACAGAGATAGTAATAGAAACCAAAAAACAAGGCATAGCAAGACAAAGCGACAAAAGAAGCACAACAATGACAACAAAAAAGAAAATCAATGACCCAGAAAATAATAAATTAATTTAAAAATGAAAAAAGAAAGAAAAACCTGTAAAAAGATCAAGGTCTGATTTTTGACCTCTAGGCGTGTCCTCCAGTCAAGTCCAGACTCTGGCCCCAGTCTAGACTTTGCACTCCCTCGGGAGCTCCCTTCTCTGCTCCCCCCTGTTGCTCTGCTGCAAGCCTTTAGTGTTTTGCCTTGGCGTCCTGGGGTCAGACTGGGCCAATCCTGACACTGTTGTTGTCAGGATTCTTGTCACTCCAGTGTTGTCCCCCTTAGGGCCATGGATCAGAGGGCAGACATGTCCTTCTCCCATAGCTGCAGCTTCAATGCCGTCCTCTAAAGTAAATTCTTCTGAGGTTTAGTACATTTTTAATAAGCAAACTTTATTTTGAAGTAATACTGGATTTATAGAAAAATTGTGAAGTTAACAGAGACTTCATGTATATGAAGTGTCACCCAGTTTTCCCTATTAACATCTTATGCTCCATACCTCCTACTGTACATTTGCCAAAACTAAGGAGCCAACAGTGATTGACTCATTACTGTTAACTAACGCCAAACTTTAATTTTATTTTATATCCTTTTTCTAGAATCTAATCTAGGATCCCCCATTACATTCAGCAAAGTGTCATTTAATAAGAATTTTAAGGAGCTGGGTTTTGATTCACACTAATAGTAAATGATAAACATCACAAGAGCATGAATATTTATCATGCTTGTTACAGGACTGGATGACTTTGCGTTATGCGGCATGTTTCTGTAATGAAAGCCAGTGACCCTGCTTCGTGTGAGGATTGCTGTGTGCCACTGAGTTGATTCTGACTCATAGGGACTCTGAGGAGTAGAGCTGCCCAGTAAGATTTCCTGGGCTGTAAAATGTATATGGGAATAGTTGCCTAGGTCTTTTCTCCCACAGAAGGCTGGTGAGTTCAAACCAGACTCCCTTAGATTATCAACCAAGCTATTAACCACTGTGCCACCACTGTGGCGCATCTCGTAAGAATGTAAAAATGGCAAAATTGTTGAATCTATTTGTGTTTCTACTCTATTTTGTCTTTTTACTTGAAATGGAAGTGATTAACTAAACATAGTTGAATTATAAGTGGAAACGAAGTTAAATGGAAGCTTTCTGGAAGAGTAGTAGAGCTGTTAAAGTCCATCAGGACTGTTAGAGCTATGCTGCTTTCACCTTTGGAGCATAGATTTCTTTAAGAAGAAGAAAGTAAGTGAAAATAAGGTGGTATTTTTAGGGTCTGTGTTAGTTTTGCATACTCTATTTTATTGTTCTTCCAATTGCAGATAGCCTGTTACAGCTGGTTTTTGGTTTTTTTTTTGGCACATATTTTTCTGCTTAATAATGTCTCCAGTCTGGCAGTTGGGCTTATTGTCATTAATTTGTCATAATAATTACAGTGTATTATCATCTATTGCTAATTTTAGATTAATGTATGCTTGTTGTATTGCTTTTTAGCTCACTGAAATGCAAGCTGAGAGTAGTTATTACAGCCCACAGAAAGTAAAATCTAAGGAAGTACTGTGTTGGGAACAAGAAGGAACTACAGTTGAGGTAATCTTTAAATCTACATGCACGGTTGGCTACACACACACACACACACACACGAATCTTTTGAACGGGTCTTACAAGTTAGTGTTTAATAAATGTAGTATTCTAATAAATAACATATTTACAGTTTTATATCTATTTTAGTAGCCAATATTGGTTGAATATTATTTTATCAAGTATTTTACTGTAGGCAACATTTATTCTTTCATTTAAAAAATTTAATCTGTGTACGTGGTGTGTGTATGTGTATGAACATTCTTGAAATGCTAATCCTTGAGGACACAAAAGTCTGAGAACATAAGGTGAGACTTTTTTTGATCTAATGAAGCCTTTGCTTGAGGGAAAGGCCAAATCTTAAAACACGTTGGACTAATTCAGAAACGGTGCAAGGAAGGCTTCACAGTGTGTTTATTGCATTTGAGTTTTTCGTCCTAATGTGCTTCCTTTCCTCCTCCAGGCCCTCATGATGGGAGAGCCTTTCTTTGATTGCCAGATTGGTTTTGTTGGCTGCAGAGCTGTGTGCCTTAAAGCCATTATGGGGGTTAAAGATTTTGAAGAAAATATGAGTAGAAGTGCAACAGTAAGTTAGAATCTCGTTTTTGGAAGGATAAATGAGTAGAAGTGATGCATCTTCATTAAGTGAAACATCACATTTCCCCCCCCCCCCCACTTTTATGTCAGAACTCTGGAGCTTGTTATAGATCAAACTCACTGCCCTCAAGTCAATGCTGACTCATTTGGACCCCCTATGGGTTTCTGAGAC